AGGAAATGCGGAGCTTAACCTTGGGCACCTCACTCACTTTGTCCCATATTCTTCCTTCAATCATCTATTTCAATCAAACAGCCGCCACCCTTTCTGCTCCTCCTCCCAAGGTTTCTCATGACTCATCAGTTCCCAAATTTGGTAAAGATTCTGTCTTAATGGGTCTTCTTTTTAGAATTTCTTTGATTTTTTTAAGACAAAAGATGGGGTTTTGGTGTATGTAAACACTTGGACTTGGTTGTTCATGAATTTATTGGATTTGGGTGTTTGGTTGTTTTTGCATTGACTTTGCCAATTGCTTGATTATATGTGTCCTGTTGGCAATGAATTTGGTATGATTAGAGGCCATATTTGTTGGAAATATGGATGTTGTTCATTGTTTGTTAGGTTTATTTGTGTGCAGGAGCATGTAGAGCTACTCAATCAGTCAATCTCTTCCCGATCGTGTCTCCCGAGATTGTTGTTCGCGAGGCACAGTTAGAGGACTGCTGGGAAGTGGCCGAGACTCACTGCAGCTCGTTCTTTCCCGCGTATTCCTTCCCGTTAGATTTCGTGCTACGAGTTGATAGATTGGTGGCAATGCTGTCCGGATTCTCGGTCCCGCCTGGTTGCAGGAGAACTTGTTTGGTTGCTGTCATGGGTGGTTCGGCCGACGACACGTTTCTGATTGGAGCTGACGGTTTTAAAGTCGGAGGTTTCGATGGGAAATTTAGTCTTAACAAAAGGTTATGTAACTGGTATATTAACTGTCGGTACCGTTGCTGATTTCCTTCCTAGAAAAGGACCACTTCGACTGAGAAGGTGATTTTACTTATTCGGTACTTTACTATGCTAGTTTAATGCCATTTAATGCTTCGACATGCCGGTTGAAATTTAGTCTTAACCGTTAACTACTTATGGTGTAATATGTCTGTAGACACCCGTTTTTGTCCGAATATTTTTATTATTATTATTATTTAATTACATATTGTGTAGGACCAAGTGGAACCCAGATTACAAAGCCCCAAGGCATAACCCACCAGCTAACTTACCTGAAGACCAACTACAATATTAGCCCACTCAGCAGCCCACAAAGCTAACCCAGTTGGAGTCCAGACCCGAGATCGAAAATTTGATCCGATTCAGGCCCAGCACCCAAACCCGTTAGGGTTTTCACTCTTTGCTTAGTGCCGCCTGCATTTGCAACCATTGGATCTGGACTAAATCAATGGTCTAGATTAAAGGGCCATTTAGGGTTTCTAAAACCCTAACTATAGCCTCGCCGCCGACTAGCCTGATGTCCAGCAGCCTCGCCGCTGCTGCTCATGTTGTAGCACCGACCACCAACGCTTCAATCTGTCGCCAACACATCAATCAGACCACTGGGAAGACAAAACAATACTAAATTTATTTTTTAGTATTTTTTAGAGAAAAGGGAAGTAAAATGTGGCCATGTTAAGCAGAGATAGGGCACTTGAATCCTATTCTCTTGGAAAACAACGAACCATCACCATAATCCACGAGGAACAGAGATAAAAAGGGAAACTATTCAGCCAAATGATAGAGTTGAGAGACCTTGAGATTTATCTTCCTTGATGAGGGAGTTGAGAGAATTTGAGATTTCTCTCTCCTCCCTCTGCTATTAAACCGAGCCAAATGATAGTTTTGGCCAAATTTTAACCTTGTTTTGGCCATTTATACATCGTACAAAACGACGTCGTTCTGGGGGGTCTTCAGCATGTTTTCAGCTTGAGCTAATTGTTGTTCAGGTCTCTCCTCGTTTGTAACATTTTGTTTTAGCCATTAATGAAAGTAATGTTTTACTTCGAGCCTCTATTTTTCAGTGTTTTCATTTAAGTCACTAGTTTATATATTATGTTATGTTTGCTGATATTCTAATATGACCCTGTGATTTATGCATCTTTTATTTTGGTCACTATTTCATAAGGTTGCATTTTGGTATAATTTCAACGGGTTCTTTCATATATCTTGTTTAGTTTATTTGGTCCTTGGTATTATTTATGGATTATTTCATTTCCAGTACCTTATTTGTTTAATATTTGCGATTGTGACTTTGGTTTATTTGTAATTTTATTTTGATCCTTCAAGTTTCAGTTAGTACCAGTTTGGTCCCTTAAATTTTCAAATATGTTTATTTGGTTATTTATATTTTGATTTGTAATGATTTATTGTTTTGTTTTAGTCCTTTATGTATTTATGTATTTCTTATATTATGTATTTATTAAATAAAGTTCGTTAATCCCATTTGTAATAAATATTTTGTTCTATATGTATATTATGTAAATATATTCTAGTTCATATTATATTTATTTAGACTCCTTTGATGTGTTACTCGTAACCATTTTCCAGTATGTTTATCGTAGAATGGGTGTGAAAAGTGTCACCTTACAGAGGAGGTGCGATTCAATACAACATTCAAACGAAATGGAAACTTGAAATAAATCTTGTTTATTTTACTAATTAAATCCTTTTTTATTCAAATAATGCAATGCATTTTTCTTTAAATGGTAATTTATGTTATTTTGCGCAAATGTCGATTTTTCAGTTTATATTTGATTTGTGTTTTTTTATCGAGGAGGAATATTCTTTATGAATGAGAAATAGTTGAGATGATTTTCCCGACGAAGGATAGCAAATTTCAAGATTTCTTATCAAATAAAAGGATTTTCTTTAAATTAATAATTCGAAATAAATTAATCAATGTTCAATGCATGAATCATAATTTAACTTTATATTTGATTCATAATTTCTGCTACTACGACAATGTGTAAGCGATTGAGTACCAATTTTGGGCGTTGTGGGGGTGCTAATCCTTCCCCACGTGTAATCGACTCACGTACCCGTTAAATCGAATTTTTGGTAAACACAGACCAATTTTTGTCTTAAAAACAATTTTTCCTTAAAATTGTTTTAAAAGACGTTTTTAGGTATTCGACCTACCTAACCCAAAGGTTGATGGCGACTCCCTTTCCATTTAATTCAAATCAATTCATAAATCCCCAATTTTTCAAATTAAAGTTATAATAGTTTTTAAACATAATTGTTTTTAAAAAAAATGGTTATGATAATGTCAATGTCCTAAAATTTTTGGTTCTACGTTTGCACAAATGCAGCTCATCAAATTTACCATAGCCGTCTGGTCACCACTTAATGTTAGCAATGAACATCGCTTATTGTCTTCGGAATCCGTTAATAACTCCTAATGCTGTAGTTTGATTATGGTTAAGGCCTGTATCTGATTATGGTCGAGTACTTATGATCCGTGTTTTCTAGTTCAACATAACTATCCTGAAGCTGTATTAATGGCTTTCAGGACCATTAGCTTACTATTTTCGCTGACCTTGTTTGATTAACTGAAACCTCTGTATACCTGTTTGAACTGTAATGCCGGAAAGGAAAAAGGCATATTTGTTTTCTCCGTTGTAATCATTCAAGATCTCATATCCAACGAGAGTCCGAGTGAATACTACTAGGTACGGACTATTTCTTCCATATCCTAGAGTATGAACAATGTCCTAAAAGATTGGAAATATTTCCGGCATACCTTATCTTTAGGGTATGAATATGCAATAGTTGGTAAGGATGCCGAGTGTCAGTGTCCTTAAACAGAAATTTCTGGCGCAAGGTGGAACGTTCGTTGTCGAAGAACAGTTCTACACGACTATGAGATATTTTTGTCTGTTAAAACCTTTGAGGATACGAGTAGCTCAACTAAACCTCCTCCTTCAATGTTATTTAGTGAAAGTAACTGCTTTTAGGCAGGTATGGTAGATTAGATCTGCTGGAATTGTCGAGCATCGAAAATCGGTCGTGTTTTGTTAATTTTTGTTCTAATTGAAGTTAACGTTTTACATGCAGAAAGTATTCTACTTGTAATCTCGTCGTTAACTATTGAAACTTTGAGAATCTTTATGGTAGGACTGGAATTGCATACATATCAAATGTTGCGGTTCGAGAGAGATACCGTCGTAAGGGAATAGCTAAAAGGCTCATAGCCAAAACAGAAGCTCAAGCAAGGAGCTGGGGCTGCCGTGCCGTTGCTTTGCACTGCGATTTGAACAACCCCGGTGCAACAAAACTGTACAAAGATCAGGGTTTTAAATGCATTAAGGTGCCGGAAGGAGCAAACTGGCCGAAGCCTAAGACTGCACCCGACATGAAGTTCAACTTCATGATTAAGCTTCTTAACATCTCTACCACTGCGTAAAATTCGTATAAAAACATAGAAAGGTAATCAAAAAACTCGTCGAAGATGCAAATATGTAGGATAAATGAAACTAGTTTGTATGTGGGATAAATGAAACTAGTTTGTATATAGTCTAAACCTGATCGGATTTGCTTCAAATATTTGTAGTTAATGTATGTATCCAGGATCCAAAAAGTTTAAGAATGAGGGTACAAAATTTTAATTTTCTTTTTTTAAAAATATTGAGTACGTAAAATTTTTCTTTTTTCCTTGCACGTTAAGTTAAATTTAATCATTTTTCTAAAATAATGAGATGCACTTGATTCATACAGGGACTTGGTGCATCCGCCTGTATGTATCGCCTGTAATGTTAATATTGCAAATCGGTTTGTATCGACAAACTGGACAACGTGTATCCTTATTCAGCCATTGATCTATATAAAGCTGATGACATAGATGTTTGCAGCCAGGAAGAAACCTGCATTGCGATTCAGTTTTCTTCTCTATTCATGTGCTGAATTATGGTACATACCGTGATTGGACTTGAAGTTTCTTCAAGGTTCGAGCTGCTATTGCATGGTTGTCTTTTTCTGTCTTGTTCAGCTATCATATAGCTCGATAATCCAAATTCGCGAAAACAAGGAATTAACAAAAGATTCATAATCACTGCAAGTATCACCTCCCATAAATCTATGGTCACTCAAGTTCAGGTGAATATTTTCGTATATTTGAAGGTATTTCGAGAAAAATAATCTAAACATAGGTATAAAGCCATGGATTTGATGATAATATCGGATCTCTATTATTAGGGACCTGGAAATATGCCTATATGCTTGAACAAGTTCTTAGCTGTTTAAGGTCACTATTCAAAAGAGAGATACAAAGAAACTTTCTCAACCTCAAAACTACCATTATTACAGTACGAAGTCGGCTCATCGGAAAAAAGGCAGAAGCCCATTGCAGCAAAATACTCAAAAGCTGATAAAGAAGGCTCATTCAGTTTCAGTGGGGTTGGACAAATTTGTCTAAAGCAGATGTGTCCAAAGCTTGAAATTCCTTCACATCGGAAGCTGTAACATCCCAAACACCAGGTTAGTGACCAAATTATAAATTTTTAGAATTTAGTGACTAAATTAGATAAATTGAAAAGTTCAGAGACTTAAGTGACATATTTTATGTAGGACTGAATATCAAAGAATGATGATTGGAAGGGCAAAATGGTCATTTGACCAGTAAATGAATTAAAAATTGGTATTGGGTATATTAAGTACATGTGGAGAAGGTGGAAAACTAAAACTAACTATCCATAAATATCTTCATTATTCTTCTCCTTCTAGTTGTGAACCCCAAATTATCAAGGTGAGTTTCTTGCTAGTTGATTATCCATTGAATTTAAGCTTGGTTTACGTTCTTTAGATGATACTTAAGCTTAAGGAAAGCTTAAGTTGTCTTAAAACCAAGAGATGAAGGAGTTAGGAAGGATTAAAAATAAGAAGGGTTTAAGTGAAATTGTTGAAAAGGATTAGTAAGTAAAGTTGAAGATTGAATTTGACTTGTCATTAGCTAAATTAAGAAGTAGGAAGTGTTAGAAATGAAATTAAAACATGTTGTAAATTTAGTAAGATTCTTGGGTTCAAGATATAGGATGAGATTTTGAAGGTAAGGATGTGTTATATGAATATAAATTGATTTGAGTATGTGTAATTGAGTTTAAGGGTATGAAAGGGGTTAAGAAATGAAAGGTTTAGGTTGATATTGGTAAATTTCGGGTTAAAGGAGTACATTCTGGGAAAGGAGTATCGGTACTGATTCATCCAGTACCGATACTTCAAAGGTAAACGAGTGATATTTGGAGTAAGGGTATTGATACTGGTTGAACAATATCTATACCATAAGCTAAAATTGGATAAGTCATTAAAGGAGTATCGATACCTAAAGAATAGTATTGATACCAAGGGTACTGATACCTTAAGTCAAGTATCGATACCATTTTGAAATAAGGATTCCAGAACTGGGAAAGGGTATCGATACCAAGGAACAATATCGATACCACAGTGAATGAAGTATAGGTACCATACCTTGGGTACCGATACTACTCAAAATGGAAATTTATATTAAGTATTTCTTTTAGCTTGGGTAATTAAGGATCGAATTATGATACTTAGAATTCTGATATGCATATCAAATGTATGATTGTATAGATATCGAACATAAGCAAGTTTCAGAACGATTGAAGAGTTAGGAACGATCGAGAGAGAGATAAAGTCATAGGCATTGACTGGACTAAGTGAGGCTAAGATGAGTGTATACTATAGTATAGATGTTGTATTATGGAAATAAGACTTGTGATAAGTCTATTTCCTATATTTGATTTCATGATTTCGTATTTATGTACATGCATATATTATAATTATAATGAGTACATGCATAACTTATACATGTTTTAATACGATTTAATATCTGTTATGTGATCCATGCGAACATAAGAGAACAAAATCTAAGCTATATGATATAAGATAAGTGATTATATGTATACATGTGATATATGAGATGTGGTTACATGAGAAATGATAGAAGATATATGAATATATGGAACATATAAATGTTCAAGCCCATGTTATGTGATATGAGAGTTGTAAGTATAATTGGCATGCCAAGAGTCGATGGTTCTATGTGGTCTTTCGAGACATATATGTAATCCTTTGGAACATATATGTGGTTTATTAGAACACATATTTTGTCCTTTGGAATATATATGTGGTCCTTAAAGAGAAGTATATGTGGTCCTTAGGGACATATATGTGGTCCTTCAGGACGTATATGTAGTCCTTCAGGACAAATTCTATGTGCCCCTAGTGGGAATTTATACGAGCTGTGGTGACAACATATATGCACAACCTCAATGTACTCACATGCCTCAGGTTCTCAGTAATGTACATGGGCACATAAAAGATATAAGCAGAATTAAATACCTTATAAGATGATATGTATTATTTGTGCAATCCATGATTATGTATGTTATGGTTGAGTGTATATATGAAGATTGTAATCACATGTTGGAATTATAGGTTCGCATGTTTCATGAGTTTATTGTTGCATGTTTATATTATGCCTCACTAAGTTTGTGACTTAGCGTGTGAGTATTTCTCACGTAGGTACCAAGAATCAAGAAGACAATAATTGAAACCCAGAAAGACATCATCTCTTTTGAAGACGATCAGATCAGAAGTGATTCAAACAATATGTCATTTTGTTATAGTAATTATGTTGGCATGTAATCAAAGTTTGAATAATATATGCTCTGGTTGATTTTGTAATTATTTTTATTGACTTATGTAAATTATTTCACGGTTATTTTAATGAAAGTTTAAATTTTCTACGATTTTGGAAAAAGTAAACGTTTTAAAAGTCAATGTGACACCTCATATTCGTTTTTGGGTTAGGTACGGGTTAGGGGTGTTACATTTAATGGTATCAGAGCTAAGGTTTAGTTGATTCTAGGCATAAACCGAAGTCCCTATTGTCTTTAAAGGTATACATGCTAACAAAATAGGGAAAACTTTTGATATGATAGAGTAACGAGTATACTGTCTTGCTAATAGAATTATATGGTTATGTCTTATTAGATGTCCGGACAAGAGAGCTCCTGAAGTGAAGCAGGAGATGATAGGCCTGAAGAGAGTAGTAATTCACCTGCCCTGGTGATAACTCCTTAAAAAAGTCGTATTTTGGGACCTTTTTCACTTAAGTTATTGAATGTCTAAGATCTCATTTAGGACCATGTAGATGTATTTATGAACATATATTTTCATGTGGTGGAATTTGTTTTGCCGCGGTATTTTATTTTGTCATCAGTGCTGCTTTATGGGGAAGGTGTTTATCTAATGATGAGCAGAAATTGAGAACAAGGAAAAAAGAAAAGGAAATGCCATGATATTAGGAGATCGCTGAGCAGAATGAAAATGCTGAATTGGATTGACATTTTGAAAACGAGCAAAGTGCGAGAAGATATTTTTGAAGTCAATTATCCCCCATTTTCACCAAGAGCAAGAAATCCACCTGGATTAGTACTACACCATGCTGACCATGCTGCAGATGTTAGGTGCTCAGCCAACCACCCAGTATGGGCCATTTTCAGATGCCCATGCTGGGCCACTGCCCCATGCTGGACCACTGCCCAATCCTCACGAGAATCAAGCAAAGTTGGGGGTATCCTAGGAATTTCAACACCAATTCCTAAGTTTTTTCTCCCCTTATATATAGAGGATGAAGCCACAATGTAAAGGAATTTTGGTCCCACGCCAATTTAAGCTTATAAGTTAGAGAGAGAAGGTCTTACTTTTCTCAGTTAATCATACTTGCCGTGGCATTTCTCCGTGACAAGCTTGAGGGAGTGGCATTCTAAGCGTCCGAGAGGAGCTAGTTCGCTAGGGGTAGTTCATGGTGGCCGAGGGAAGCTCCAGCAGTGCACGTTGAAGACTTTTCCTCCTTCCCTTAGTTCTTTGCTTTCATATTTTGTTATTTGGGTTGTAAGGAACGAATGAAACTTGCTTTGTGCTTGTCTATTTCGAACCCCACCATGAACTAATCCTATTTGGTGGGAGTTCGGTTGGATGTTTAAGTTTTTATTTCAATGAATGGTTGTCTTTCTATGCTTTAATCTATTTTGTTTATGAAACTTAATGCCTTAAGGTTGTAGGAGCTACGAGAGTAGCCTTTCCTTAGGAGGTCTTGAGGGTTCGAGAGAATACCTTGGCAATTTATCCTTTGCGTTCGAGAGAAACTAGGGAGGAACTACGTAAACAAGGGGTTCTAGGTAGTAACTAGGCCTAATCCACCTTAGAGATAAGGTTAGGATTTCATTCGACTAAAAGGAGTTGTGCAAGAACGACAGGTTAGATGTTAATGCTGCTGCAAAAAGGTATTACCGAGATATATCCTGTTATCTAGACCAATAGGATCCTGTTAATGTCGGGCAGACTAGGCATAGAAGTAAGACCATTCGGAGAAATAGACTTAGATTTTCCCATTGACTCATATCACTCACTTCTATAGTAGCTTGTCGTGTGAGGAAAACAAAGTCCTATCAATTAAATCCAGTATTTGCATTTCATTTTGCATTGACATTTCCATCCATTTTACCACGACATATCCATTTGCTACCATATTGCCATCATTCCATTTTCACATCAGTCATTCTATTTTGCCACGACATTATCATTTGTATATACCATCACTAACTTTACTTAGGTGACAAAGTAAAGTGCCTTGACAAACTTATTTGATTTCCCCAATTCCCTGTGGAGATGATACTCAACTTATCACTATATTACTTGTTTGATTGTGTATACTAGCACATATATCCACACTCATTTATAGTACTCATACCGAGCGGACAAGTTTTTGGCGCCGTTACCAGGGAATTGGCATCTGGAAGTTAAATTGTTTTGTCATAGTTTTTTTATTTTACTTGTTTATATTTCTTTTATATAGTTTTACCCTTTATTTTTCTTATCTTCTTCAGAATTTTGTGGTGTATGACCAGAAGTAACCCTGACGAGCTATTAGAACTAGTTGAACTTGAGATTGAGAGGATCTTTAGGAGAAGAAGACGTGCTCAACGTGCAAATATGTACCAAATTGGAAATCCAGGCATTGGTCATGAGGAGGATCAGAATGTCGAGGCAAATCCATTTGCTGGGAATGCACCCAGACCTCGTGCTATTTGTGATCATTTAAACAAGATTTTAGACGATTTAAATCCTGTAATTGTGGCACCAGAGATTCAGGCAGCTTATTTCGAGCTCAAACCTGTCATGTTCAATATGCTGAACTCCATAGGGCAGTTTGGGGGTATGTCAAACGAAGATTCCAGGTAGCATATTCGTAATTCTTGGAGGTGTGTGATTCTTTTCGCCAACAAGGGGTGCACGAAGATATTCTGAAGCTAAAATTATTTCCATATTGTTTGCTTGACCGAGCAAGGGCTTGGTTGAGTGGTGTTCCCGCGGGTTTAATGGAGTCGTGGACTGATCTGTGCAAAAATTTTTTACTGCGGTATAATCCTCTGAACATGAACACCCAACTGAGGAACGACATTAGTTCCTTTCGTCAAGCTGATGACGAGTCGATGTATGAGTACTGGGATCGATACAAGGCATTGCTTCGTAAGTGCTCAAATCATGTTTTCAAGATTGGACAAAAGTGGTGATGTTCTACAATGGAGTAAACGCACCCACGAGGATGATGCTAGATGCCTCGGCATATGAGACGCTACTTGACAAATCACCAGCAGAGGCATTTGACATTCTGGATAAGGTTGCCACTAATGATTATCAGTTTCCATCCACACGACTTGGAGCTGGGCGCAAGTCATACGGAGGTTTTGAGCTAGATTCTAAAGATAACGTGTCCGCCCAACTTGCTGCTATCACCAACATATTGAAGAATTTGTAAAGGCCAAGTGAGGTGAGAGAAGTGAAGGCAGCTCATTCAGCATGTTTATTATGCCACGACAATCACAATGAGAGTGAATACCCAACCAATAAAAAATCCATGAACTTTGTAGGCAACTTCAATCAAGGTAACAACAACCCTTATTCCAACACATATAATCCTGGATGGCATCAACATCCAAACTTTTCATTAGGAAATCAGGAAACAACAATGCTTTTCAACCAACTCGGTAGCAGAATTACAATACTCCTAGAATTATCAATCGAATATGCCATGGTATAATTTTAACAAGGGATGGCCATCTTCATCAAACACTAGTTCTTTAGAAGCCACACTGCAAGAGTTTATTACAACAACGAAGACAATGCTGCAAGATCATGTGACCTCCATCAAAAATCAAGGGGCCCTGCTTCAGAGCCATAGTTCATCGCTGAGGACGCTGGAGAGTCAGGTTGGTCAAATTACTGCGACATTACAAGAACGCAGACCAGGAAATTTACCGAGTGACACTGAAGTCACTAAACCTCATGGCAAGGAGAATTGCAATGTGCTAACTCTACGAAGTGGTACACAAATTAATGTTGAAGACAAGTTTGGGGGAAGACCGAAGGATGATTGACCCCATGTAACCATGAAAGCTGATCAAGAAGTTCAAGAAGAAGCACCAGTGGAAGAGGACAAGGCTGAGGATTCATTAAGTAAAGAAACTGAGGGGGCAAATAAAAATGCTGAGGTAATTTCTGTTCACACCCCGTCAGTACAGTAAGCCAGACCCCCACATCTTTTTCCACAAAGACTGAAAAAGCATAACGAGGATATTCAATTCAGAAAATTCGTTGATATTCTGAGTCAACTTCAAATCAATGTTCCTTTTCTGGAGGCTATGGAACAAATGCCTACATATGCAAAATTCCTTAAGGAAATTGTTACCAAGAAGAGAAAGGTTGAGCAGTACAAAACAATTGCCACGGCAAAAGAATTTTACTTTTCCTTAAGCAAGCTGCTACCGAAGAGACATGATCCGGGCAATTTTATCATCCCATGTTCGATAGGATGCAAATTTGTTGGGAAGACACTATGTGACCTTGGCTCAAGTGTAAACTTGATGCCTAAGTCAATTTTTGTGAAGCTTGGGATAGGAAATGCGAGACCCACATCTGTCATATTACAATTAGCCGATCGTTCGCATGTTCGTCCCGAAAGACGAATCGAAGATGTCATCGTGCGGGTTGACAAGTTCGTTTTACCAGTCGATTTTCTGATTCTAGACTGTGAGGTCGATGCCACAACACCCATAATCTTGGGGAGACCCTTCCTAGCTACCAGTTGTATTCTCATCGACTGCGAGAGGGGCGAGCTAACCATGAGAGTGGTCAATCAGCATGTCACAATGAATGTATTTCGATCTCTCAAATACATAGATGATTATGAAGAATGCAGAGCATTTTTAAAGTGGATACAGTAATCACGCAAGAAGTAGATCAATTTTGCCAGGACAATTTCATTCAGCTACGACCTGATGAGAGGCTATTTGAAGACTTAAAGGCTGGAGAGCCTAATGATTTCTCATCCGAGGAACAACAGGCTAGCTTTCTCAAAGCTAGCCCAGGTACGCATTGTGAACCTTTGAATTTCGACGATTTTGTTCCTCCCAAGCCCTCATTACAGCATGCACCTACCCTAGAACTTAAGAATTTGCCACAATATCTTAAATATGCTTATCAAGGTAGTGATGAAACTTTACCTGTGATTATTTCCTCTGCTCTCACTCCTAACCAAAAATCGAGTTTGTTAAGTGTTTTGTCACAGCATAAGAAAGCATTAGGCTGGACGATGGCAGATCTGAAGGGAATAAGTCCAACTATCTGCATGCACAAGATCCTGCTGAAAGAATGCCACGTCAAATCCATAGAGCCACAACGAAGATTGAACCCAATCATGAAGCAAGTTGTGATGAAAGAGATTCTCAAATGACTTGATGCTGGAGTGATTTACCCAATTTCGGATAGTTCTTGGGTGAGTCCCATTCAATGCGTGCCAAAGAAGGGAGGCATGACCATGGTGACAAGTGGAGACAATGAGTTGTTACCTACACGCACAGTCACCGGGTGGCGAATCTGCATGGACTACCGCAAGCTCAACAAGGCCACTAAGAATGATCATTTCCCTTTAACATTCATCGATCAAATGATGGATCGACTTGCTGGTAAGGCATATTATTATTTCTTGGACAGATACTCGAGGTATAATCAATTTGCCATCGCACCAGAGGACCAAGAGAAGACAACGTTCACATGTCCCTATGGCACTTATGCTTTTCGAAGAATGCCTTTTGGACTCTGTAATGCCCCGACAACTTTTCAGCGCTGCATGCAAGCCATATTTTCAGAAATGGTTGAGGATTTTTTTGGAAATTTTCATGGATGGTTTTTCTGTTTCTGGAGATGACTTTCAAAAATGCCTCGGCAATTTGAAAAAGGTACTGAAGCGATGCAAGGATGCCGATCTCGTGCTGAACTGGGAAAAATGCCACTTCATGGTGGCTGAAGGCATTGTTTTAGGCCATAAAATCTCTGCAAGGGGCATTGAGGTAGACAAAGCCAAAATTGAGGTGATCGAGAAACTACCCCCACCAACTTCTGTCAAGGGCATTCAGAGTTTCCTTGGACATGCTGGATTTTATAGACGATTTATTAAGGACTTCTCCACGATATCCAAGACCTTATGCACCCTGCTACAATAGAGCCAACCATTCTTGTTCAATAAGAAATGCCATGGCGCATTCAAAGAGCTGAAGAAAAAACTTATCTTTGCACCGATCGTGGTTTCCCCAGATTAGACGGCACCGTTCGAGTTAATGTGTGATGCAATTGATTTTGCCGTGGGGGCTGTGCTTGGGCAACGTCGAGGTAAAATCTTTCATGTTATTTATTATACTAGCCGTACCTTGAATGAGGCACAATTGAACTATACTACCACTGAGAAAGAATTACTTGTCGTGGTATTTGCATTTGACAAGTTTAGTCCATACTTGATAAGCACCAAAGTCATAGTTCACACTGATCACTCAGCTATAAAATATTTAGTGAACAAGAAAGATGCCAAGCCTAGACTTATTAGGTGGATATTACTACTGTAAGAATTTAACTTAGAGGTAATCGATAGGAAAGGTACTGAAAACCAGGTTGTAGATCATTTGTCTAGGCTAGAAAACATTTCAGAATGCCATGGAATTTTTTATATTAAAGAAGAATTCCCTGACGAGAAAATTTTATATGCCACGACAATTCCGTGTTACGCTGACCTCGTTAATTTTCTTGTTAGTGGTGTTTTTCCATATGAATTGATTAGCCAGGGCAAAAAGAGGTTTCTGCATGATGTCAAGTTCTATTTTTAGGACAAGCCATACTTGTTCAAGCAATGTGCCGATCAAATGATTCGACGGTGTATCCCCGAAGAGGAGCAACGTGATATCTTACACCATTTCCACACATCACCCTGTGGAGGGCATTTTGAAGGTGTGAGGACTACTGCCAAGGCCCTCCAATCAAGCTTCTACTGACCATCGCTATTTAAGGATGCCCACGAATTTTGCAAGGCCCGCGACAGATGCCAGCGTACTTGGAACATTTCTAGATGACACGAAATGCCGCTGTAAAATATTTTTATAGATAGAGCTATTTGATGTTTGGGGCATTGATTTTATGGGACCGTTCCCATCTTCTTTTAGAAATTTATACATTTTACTCGCGGTGGACTACGTATCCAAGTGGGTTGAAGCGATTGCGACACCAAGGAATGACTCGAAGACGGTGCTCATGTTCCTTCACAAGAATATTTTCACTCGATTTGGAGCACCAAGAGCCATTATCAGTGACGAGGGCACCCACTTTGACAAAAAGCTAATTGCCAAGGCATTACAAAAATACAGAGTGCGATATAAAATTTCCACGGCATATCACCCACAAACAAATGGGCAAGCTGAAGCGTCCAACCGTGAAGTTAAGCAGATTCTCGAGAAGGTGGTAAACCCTCGAAAAAAAGACTGGTTCCCAAAACTCGATGTAGCACTCTGGACATACCGGATGACATTTAAAACATCTCTGGGAATGTCTCCCTTCAAGATGGTATTTGGAAAAGCCTGTCACCTGCCAGTTGAGCTAGAACATAAGGTATACTGGGCAATCAAGAAGCTGAACTTCGACGCACAACTAGCTGGGGAGAAACAGTTGCTCAATCTGAATAAAATGAAAGAGTTTCGGGCACAAGCATATGAAAATGCCAAGCTCTACAAGGAAAAAAAATGAAGAAGTGGCATGACAAAATGCTTTTGCCACGGCATTTTCATGTTGGCCAGAAAGTGATCCTGTTTAACTCTAGGCTCAAACTCTTGCCTGGAAAACTGAAGTCACAATGGTCGGGACCATTCGAAGTCCACCATGTTTACCCGTATGGCACTGTGGATATCAAGAACATGGACGATGAGTCCGTATTTAAAGTCAATGGCCAGCGCCTGAAGGCATACCAAGGAGTCCCACCATTGCGTGACAAGACTGCACTTCTCTTGCATGAAGTTGATATTGGCCCAGCATCTTAAGGATGCCGTGACATTTTAAAATTACTCTTGTACATAAATAAATGTTTATTTCGCTTCTTTTTAATTGACTATTTTATTTTTACAAGGTTAGGGTATATACAACTTTCAACCGTACCAACATTAGATTCTGAACACTCGAGCCCTACATAATTTTGGAAGCACACACGTCGCACGATCACCGCACCACCACAAGCGTAAAGTTAAGGTACCTTGCATTGCATTGCATTTCATAGCATGTAGTCTAGTTTTACCTTAGTTTTTAGTAAGCATTGAGGAAAATGCTTCTCTCAAGTTTGGGGGAAGTAGGGTTCTCCAATCATTGCATGATATTATTAGTAAAATAAATATGCCATGACATTAGTAAATGTAGAATTAGTTTTCTGGACTAAATTAAGGATGCCCGATGATGATGAAATTTTTATGGCTAGGATTGAATGTACATGACTGGTTGAGGATGATAGAACCAACTCTAGGACTTGCTTCTTTAAAACCCTTGAATACACGATTGTATGCTTTCCATGCTTGAGAAACTTAGAAATTTTTTATAAGAGAATTCTTAAATGTCGTGGCATAAAACTTTGAATGATGAAAATCCCATAAAAAAGGAATGAAGTTGTGAATAAATGCCTCGGCATATCTGTAGAGAGACACTCCGCTATACCACGGTATTTCCTAGAAACTACAGTTAAATAAATGACAGCTATGGCATATGAGTGAATGAAAGAATTCATAGGATGACACTACCTGACTAGCTCGAGGGTGGAAGGTATGCTCCCTTTCACTTAGAGTGTGGGATGGTAGGAGTGGTGGGATGACTCCTCTTGTAGAAGAGTTAATGAAAGAAAAGAAAACAATGTGGAGTAAAAATTTGTAAATGTCATGGCAAATTAAGAAAGCTTGCTTAGAAAATTTTTAAGTTTGTTAAGCATGGACTGGATACAAACACCCACACAAAGGATCTTGCCCTAGGGGACAATACTTGATTTCTCGAACTAGTCTAGCATGTTGAGGGCTAAAATTTTATCCCATATAATTATTCTTCTTCTGAACTTGCCATGGTATTTTTTTTTATTTTGCTTAATACTATCCATTGCTTGAGGACAAGCAATAACTTAAGTTTGGGGGGTGTGATAACTCTGTAAAAAGATCATATTTTGGGACCTTTTCACTTAAGTTATTGAATGTCTAAGATCTCATTTAGGACCATGTAGATGCATTTAGGAACATATATTTGCATGTGGTGGAATTTTTTTTGCCGCGGCATTTTATTTTGTCATTAGTGTTGCTTTATGGGGAAGGTGTTTGTCTGATGATGTGCATAAATTGAGAGCAAGGAAAAGAGAAAAGAAAATGCCATGACATTAGGAGACTGCTGAGTAGAATGAAAATGCCAAGTTGGATTGGCATTTCGAAAATGAGCAAAGTGCGAGAAGATATTTTTGAAGCCAGTTGTCCCCCATTTTCACCAAGAGCGAAAAATCCACCTAGATTAGCACTACACCATGCTGACCATACTGCAGATGTCAGGTGCTTAGCCAACCACCCAGTATGGGCCATTTCTAAATGCCCATGCTGGACCACTGCCCAATCCTCACGAGAATCAAGCAAAGTTGGGGGTATCCTAGGAATTTCAACACCAATTCCTAAGGTTTTTTCTCCCCTTATATATAGAGGATGAAGCCACAATGAAAAGGACTTTTGGTCCCACGCCAATTTAAGCTTAGAAGTTAGAGAGAGAAGGTCTTACTTTTCTTAGTTATTCCTACATGCCGTGGCATTTCTCTGTGATAAGATTGAGGGAGTGGCGTTCTAAGCGTTCGAGAGGAGCTAGTTCGCTAGGGGCAGTTCGTGGCTGAGGGAAGCTCCAGCAGTGCATGTTGAAGGCTTTTCCTCCTTCCCTTAGTTCTTTGCTTTCATATTTTGTTATTTGGGTTGTAAGGAACGAATGAAACTTTCTTTGTGCTTGTCTATTTCAAACCCCACCATGAACTAATCCTATTTGGTGGGAGTTCGCTTGGATGTTTAAGTTTTTATTTCAATGAATGGTTGTCTTTCTATGCTTCAATCTGTTTTGTTTATGAAACTTAATGCCTTAAGGTTGTAGGAGCTACGAGAGTAACCTTTCCTTAGGAGGTCTTGAGGGTTTTAGAGAATACCTTGGCAATTTATCCTTAGTGTTGGAGAGAAACTAGGGAGGAACTACATAAACAAGGGGTTCTAGGTAGTAACTAGGCCTAATCCACCTTATAGATAAGGTTAGGATTTTATTCGACTAAAAGGAGTTGTGAAAGAATGACAGGTTAGATGTTAATGCTGCCGCACAAAGGTATTAACGAGGCATATATTGTTATCTGAACCAACATGATCACTGCAGGGGTTCACACCAATCGGTTTTGCCACGATATCTTCAATCTGTCGAGTCCCTTACCAGAGATAGCATAGGGCACCTTAGTAGACTCTGTCGGGCAGACTAGGCATAGAAGCAAGACCATTCGGAGAAATAGACTTAGATTTTCCCAGTGTCTCCTATTACTCACTTCCATAGTAGCTTGTCGTGTGAGAAAGGCAAAGTCCTATCAATTAAATCCAGTATTTACATTTCATTTTGCATTGACATTTCCATCCATTTTACCACGACATATCCATTTGCTACTATACTGCCATCGTTCCATTTCCACATCAGTCATTCCATTTTGCCATGACATTATCATTTGTATATACCGTCACTAACTTTACTTAGGTGACAAAGTAAAGTGCCTTGACAAACCTATTTGATTTCCCCAATTCCTTGTGGAGACGATACTCAACTTATCACTGTATTACTTGTTCGATTGTGTATACTTGTACATATATCCGCACTCATTTATAGTACTCATACCGAGCGGACACCTGGCCAGGCAAGATGAATAGTAGACACATTCGGGAGTGCATGTACAAGACCAAGATAGGTTTTTCATGACGTTGGACGCTATCCTGACGTATTTCCAACCTCCTGCTTCCTCAATTAAGAGAATAAATGTTGTAAAAGAGTTGAAAGGATATGAGCTTCAGAATTTAAGGGGGAAGCCGAAGAAGGTCCTGTTGTTGTAGACCTTTTGGCTTAATGATGTGTAGATAATGTTAGATAGACTCCACTACTCTGAGGTGGAGAAATAGATGGAGTGGTCTCCTTGCTCTGAGGGCAAGCGAGAATATGGTGGACAAATGTCACTTTGAGGATGACAAGTGACCAAGTGACATGGTCCTTGTTTATAGAGGAATTCAAGAACAAGTATATAGGAGATCAGTTTATTCAACAAATGAAGCAAAAGTTTATGAATCTGAAGCAATGTAGTCATACAGTGTATGAATATGAGTGTGAGTTCAACAAATTAAATCGCTTTGCTGCCGAACTTATTCTGACGGAGAAGGATACTTGTGAATGGTTTTTAGAGGGCTTGTGTCCTCGATTGAAAGAGATGTTGATTATGTTGAATCTGTCCTCATTTTAAGAAGTAGTTAATCGTGCTAAATCTCTGGAGAGAGCTCATAATGAAAGTTTTAGAGATCAAAGAGCCTAGATGTCTAAAAGAATGGGTGATTCTTTGAATTTTGCACCATCAAAAAGGGGCAGAGATGTTAGTTTTCGACCCCATACGAGATCTGAGTCAGATGCATCCTATGATAAAGGATCAAATCTGATGAGAGCTAGACAGACTCAATTTATAGGGACTGGAACTAGGAGATCTAATCAGGGCCAAGCTATACATTGTTAATATTGTGGAAAGAATTATCTTGTGGTATGTAGAATAATTTCTGGAGCTTGTTTCAGATGTGGGGACACCAGACATTTTTATCCGGGATTGTCCAATGATGGGTGGAGAGTCTGCACAGTCAGAATTATATAGTTCAATGCTCAGAGAGAAACGGGAAAAGGTAGAGGAAGAAGTCAACCTGAATCCTCTACTCAATAGGATATACGCTCGACTGCTCGTGTTTATAATCTAAAGACTAATAAAGATCGAGATGACCTAGAGATTATTGCAGGTACTTTCCAATTGTATGACAAACATGTTTTAGTATTGATTGATCCGGGTTCTATATATTCATACGTTGTTAGTAAATTGGTGAGAGAATTAAAAATTCAGTTAGAAGCCATTAGTAGTGATGTGATAGTGATAAATCTATTAGGGCACAATGCTTGGGTAAATAGAGTGTGTCGGGGGTGTCCTATACGGATTCAGGGAATTGAATTCCTTGCTAATCTGATAGAATTACCCTTTGAGGAATTTGAAGTAATACTGGGAATGGACTAGTTATATCATGATCATGCTAATGTTGATTGTAGATTGAAGAGGGTAACGTTTATCCGTTCAGAATGATTGGAAGTTATAATGTTCAGTGAAAATGTATTCCATTAGAAAATATATTATCAGTGATGTCAACAAAGAAGTTATTGCTACAAGGATGTCAGGGTTTCATTGGTAATGTGATGAATATTAGAATGATAGTCAGAGAATTTCCCGATGTCTTTCCTACAGAGTTGCCAGGGTTACCTCCAGATAGAGAGGTGGAATTCCAAATTGAAGTAATGCCTGGAACAGTGCCTATTACAATGACACCTTATATAATGGCTCCAAAAGAGTTGCAGGAGTTAAAGATTCAATTACAAGAAATACTGGATAAAAGATTTATAAGACCACGTGTGTCACCTTGAGGAGCTCCAGTGTTGTTCGTTAAGAATAAGGATGGTTCAATGCATCTTTGCATTGATTATAAGCAGCTGAACAAAGTGACTATCAAGAATAAGTATCCCCTCCCAAGGATTGACGATCTATTTGATCAGTTGAAGGGAGCTTCAGTTTTCTCTGAGATTGATTTGCGGTCGGGATATCATCAGTTGAAGATTCATGAGAAAGATATTCCGAAAATGGCTTTTAGAACAAGATATGGTCATTATGAGTTCATTGTTATACCGTTAGGGGTAACGAATGCACCAACTACTTTTATGGACTTGATGAATAGAATATTTTAACCCTATTTGGACCAGTTCATAGTTGTATTCATTGATGATATATTGGTATATTCAAAGTGCGCACATCTAAGGAGAGTCTTGCAGATTCTAGGAGATAATAAGCTATATGCAAACTATCTAAATGTGAGTTT